TACCAACAATGAGGCATATTTTGATGTGGTTGAGGAGATAGATGCAATCATTGACAAATCAGGTATGGAAGTTGCTTCTGGCTAAGATGAGGGTAACTTGTCCTGATAGTGCTTGAAGAGAGATTTAGGTCTTCAAAACGGAGGTGCCTCATAATTTTGGGAAGCTCTATTCTTACTCTGGACTCTTGACAACTCATAGGTGTTATTTTAGAGGGGTACCAGGATTTTCAGTTGTCCTTGTTCCTGAGTTCTTGTGAGCAATTCTATATTGGGAAAATAGGATGTGAGTGAAAATCGTGCATGAAAATTGTTCATAGCTCTTTTTCCTCAGTTTTTGTGTGTCTTAGTCTTGTCAGAGCTGGGAGCTATTGTCATTGACCATTCAAATGGATATTGCTGGTGTCAGTTCCTCCCTATTGATAGTTTTTCCTCATGAGGACTTTTTGGATCAGATTGGCATAACCTCTTGCATTTACTTTATTGTTGCAGGTTCCACAATTACAGCTGAAATCCAAGGGGTGATTGATGCTTGTGTCAAGCTGACTGGGATGCCAGACCTTACCCTCTCCTTTATGGTAAAGCTCAAGGGTATATCTTAAGTGTACTTGAAAGGGTTTTCCAGCTCTGCTGCTAGGATCTCAGTCTCACGCTGATGGATTTCAGTACATCAGAATGTGGGTATGCCAAACAAAAAGAGAAAGAACTGTCAATGGAAGCTCCTAATGAACTTCAACAACTTTGAGCCTTAAGGTGTTTGAATTTAAAGAGATTTGGCTTTTTTTTTAAAGTACTGTTAGTGTGTGCTGTGACTAAGTTTTTGAGATACAGTGGTGTTTTAGGCAGATATCCTAAAGGCTGTCTTTTTAATGGTGTGCATCGAGGTAATTATTTGACATGACTGAACTTCCTAACATAGAATAAGAGATTAATAAGTACTGCTATTATGCAGAGGTAACAGCATCAAATAGCTTAACATGTCTGAATGTAGATACTATCAAGTGGGCAGAGTGCATCAAATGGGAGGTGCATCTTCATGGATGGAAGATGGGGTTATATTAAATAGAACTGCCTGCCTTAACCTGGTGACTGCCTTTTATTTCAGAACCCTCGGTTGTTGGATGATGTCAGCTTCCATCCCTGTGTGCGTTTTAAGCGCTGGGAGTCAGAGAGAATACTCTCCTTCATTCCACCTGATGGGAATTTTCGCTTGCTCTCCTACCATGTCAGTGCTCAGAAGTAGGTGATGAATGTAGTGCTGTGAATTACAAAATTAGGATCTTCCTGGCTAGTAAAAGGGAAAAATACCCAAGGAACTGCTTTTAAAGATCAGGTGGCAAGTGCTAAATGAAGTAGAAATACATAGAATCATAGAATGGTTTGGGTAGGAAGGGATCAAACAAGTGTAGGATTTCCTTCTTTTTTGAGGAGATTGGTTTCCAGTGTTTTCAGTGTAGAAGGCAAGGACTGCATCAGAAAAAGCAAAGACGGAGGTGAGAGACTGACAAGGGATTTCTGTTCATGTCTTTCTTCCAGTCTTGTGGCAATTCCTGTCTACGTTAAGCACAACATCAGTTTCCGTGATAGCAGCTCACTGGGACGTTTTGAGATCACAGTGGGGCCGAAGCAGACTATGGGGAAGACTGTAGAGGGAGTGATTGTCACCAGCCAGATGCCAAAAGGTGTCTTAAATATGACCCTCACACCCTCTCAGGGAACACACGTTTTCGATCCAGTTACAAAGGTAAGAGGAAAGAGAGAACTGAACTTCTTTTTTATTATTATATTGTTATTTATTATTACCTTTCAGCAAATGAAGTTGAGCTGTTCATGGTTATATGCACATTTCCTTGAACATTGCTTTTCCGAAGGTTGTCTCTTTTCTTGGGGTGAGAACTTTCTCTGTACAATTGCATACTATACATTGTCTTAATCCCCACAACAAATAGCTCATTGTCCAAATGGATTATGGTCCTGGTTGCTTGGTGTGTGCAGAAAATCCAAGAACTGGTATTGTATGATGAGGCATTGCTCTGGTGGATGCTTTGCAAACTTCTGGATTTCTAGTTGTCATACCTAATGCTGCACAATAGACTTGGTCCTTTGAAAATACTGCAGATTCAGGTTGGGGCCTGTAGCACAAGTAGTAGAAATGCCATTTGTGATAGGCTTTTGAGGAGCCTCATGCAGAGAGAGGGACAACAAGCCTGTACTATGCCTGTTTAATATGAAGGGCAAGATACTAAGACTTATTCCATAAAGAAACATTTCAAGCTGTCATAGGAGAGGGATTGTTCTTCAGGGGCTGTTCCAGCATTTCTGTTTCACTGCTGCAGTTTTTTTCTCCTTGAAGTTGCTGTCATGGGATGTGGGGAAAATAAACCCCCAGAAGCTGCCAAGCCTGAAGGGGAGCATGAGCCTGCAAGCTGGGACGTCAAAACCAGATGAAAACCCCACCATTAACCTGCAGTTTAAAATCCAGCAGCTGGCTATATCTGGTAAGTGACTCTGAATATTCTCTGCTGTGTCTTGCTCGCTCTGCATGTACCTGAAGGAGCTCTGCAGGCCTTCTGAAGTACATTCTACCTGAAACATGGTCTTCAAGTAAAAAAAAATGGTGTGTTTGACTACAGATACATGGACCTGTTCTCTCTGATGCTCTGAAACAGCCTATCTACATTTCCTTGCATGTTGTGCTTACAGACCTATAAATGATTCTAGGGTATAGATGTGTTGGTAAAAAGTGATTCTGACGATTAGCAGTTGTCAGCTTTTCTCCATTCTTTTTATTGCTTCCTAAAACTTTCCCTGTGCTTTCTGCACTGCTGGCATGATCTGCTGTTCCTTTATCTTGAAGGCCTGTCTGCTTTGCTTGTGGCAGCAGTCAGTCTTACGCTGTGTTTGTTTGCCTTTAGGACTGAAGGTGAATCGCTTGGACATGTATGGGGAGAAGTACAAGCCCTTCAAGGGGATAAAATACATGACTAAGGCTGGCAAGTTCCAAGTACGAACATAGAGGATCCTGATAGCAAGGAAGAGCACTTTCCTGTTTCTTCTGTCCCCGGCTGTTGGATGCAGCCTCTTACCCCATCCATCTGTCCAGGGTTGCTCCCTTGCCTGTAGTAGCATGAGCAGGAGAGTCAGTGCTTAGGGTGCTGGGGAGTAGGGAAGGGTAAGGTCGACCTGAAACCATCTCATCCCTAGCTGAGTCTGAAGCATTTGGAACAATGGCAGATGCGAGAGGTGTTCAGGTCTCTTGGGATTAGTAAGTCAGCTGTGTATGCTTGTATCACCTTCATTTTGCTGTCTTCAAGGAAATTCTAGGGTTTTATTGCCTTTTGTAACTCCTCTTCCTTACGTTTTGGTTGGCTTTTAGCCCTTGTAGATGATACAAAGTTGAATTTCCCCACACTTCAACTCCAGTGTGATGGTCCAGCATTTGCCCTTCTCCATCACTGGGTGTTAGGGTGAAGAGCTCTATAGCTCTTGGCAGCCGAGAGATCATCCAGCCATTCTACCTGGAAGGGGCTGAGAGAAATGGAAAGGTAGATTGTCCCACCCAGCATGAGAACTTAAGAAGCTTGAGATTGGGAATGGTGTCACAGGGGGAGGAAGAGAAGAAGTATATCCATTTTCTACATATTTCATAAGTTCTTTTGGTCATCAAGTATCTTGAATCTCTAGAGATGCACTGGAAACCCATCCAAATCTTAGGATGGTATCCTACAAAGGGCTGACACAGCACATACGGTCTTGTAATTCATGGGTGGTGACATCTGAATGTAATTCTCCTTCTCTTATTTCATCAGTATTTGAAGGTAGGGATTCTCCTGGTTTCTCTGGAGAGTCAGGAAAGAGACAGGCAGGCATGAGCACACTGATGGAAACTGAAGCTGTGGTTAAATGAAGACAACCACTCTCCTAGTAACTTGTTGGAACCTCTTCTTGCCTGCCTAGTACAAATGAAGGTGATACTGCTGTTCTTCTGCTCACTGATGTGTGTCTTTGAGGTAATTGTGTCCTGGTACCTTTGTAGTATTTCTTGCTGTCCTACCTCATTCCAGTTCCTGTACCAATCAGCTGCTCTGCAGGTGGATTCAAGCCTACACTGGATTTTTTGCTGGGACCATCTCTTCTTTAGGACCTCATTCCAATCTGTGCTGCATCTCTCTACAGCATAAATATGAACTGAGAGGCATCTGCAGTGTTCTATATTGTCTGTAATGTGCTCTTTGGCCACTAGATGCCAATGTGTTTTCTCTGTGGTAGCAGAACTCGTCCCTGGCTGTGGAGTACAGCATGTACAGTTCATGCTTGTGAATAGAACAAGGTGACTCTTAAGCAAAGGGTAACACACACATTCTGATTTGTGTGTGATGAATACTTGCAGTGGATGAGTGGCACCTTGCATGTGGAATTGCAAGTTTCAGTGCAACTGATGAAAGCCATAGCAGGTGGCCTTATGCCGAGCATGTTCAGTGCAAATACAACCTTCAGCAAGGGCATCAATAAAGTTCAGTTTTACATGTCATACGTGTCATTCCAGAGTGGCTTGTGTGGGCTGTACAAAGAATACAGTTGGTATTTGAGGAGGAAGGTGAATTATGCCAGTTGGATTGTGGATAGCAGGTGCCTTAGGGGGTAAATGTCATTATGCAGTTGGGATTGTGAGCCTGGGACTGAGCCACTGTCTGAAAAGCTAAAATGAATTTATCTCGTGGTCTTTTTTCCTGGTGTTTCCTGCAAGGAGCACTGAGCACTTCCTGGAACCTCACTGAAACTGCCTTTAGGACAGCTAAACCATTTCTGTTTACTAGTAGTTTTGAGCAGCAGGCTAAGGACTGTGCTTCAGTTATGAAGATTAACTGCACTTAACCACCATTTATCTGAGGACAGAGAATCAAGCTGAAACAAACTTACATAACCAAAGTAAAGTGGTATAAGGATAGAGCTTCAGCCTGACTGGAATGTATTCCAAATTTACAGCCAAATAAGATGAGAGATTTAAGTTTTCAGGAAATTTAATGTCCCCTTTGCCTTCATTTCACACCCCTTCCCAAACCAACATAGGTGCTCATGGGATGCACAGTGTTGTCTCTTGGTTTACTCTCTTTATAAGTTAAATTTGATAGTACTTGTGATTTGATACAAGGAGAAAGCCTGGGGATGTGGGGAGAAAGGAGTGTTAGCTTCCAATAACCTGTAACAAGGAAAGGAGAGAAACTTGAGAATGTGCCCTTCCCACACATTCCTGTGGTATGAAAAGCCATAGGACAAAGGGAAGCACTGTCAGTATCCTTAAAACACCAAGAAGGAAGCTGCGAGGGCATGGCCACAGGGTTGTGGATAGTTCATTTTTCTTTCTCAGGGATTCGTGTTGTCCTGAATCCAGTCCAGATAACGATTCACATTTGTATAAACACCAGGTATGTCTTTGCGGCCACAGCCTATTCCCCAGCTGATGATTCCAATGAGATACATCCGATCATCCTTCATACAGACCAGAGGCCCTCCAGAGTCACCCTACAGAGAAGCAGGAGGTTAATAACTATCTCCTTTCTGGTTGGGTTTGTGTTGCTTTTACCCCCACTCACTGGCTTTAGTGATTTCCATGGAAATACCCTATGTAGTATGCTAACAAAATCAAGAGCTCTTAGTAACAGCACTTTCACATAAGCCCTTTTGTGTTCTAGACTCCCTCAATGCTCCCCTTATGGGAAGACATCCCAAAAAACCTAACATTAAAGCATCCAACTCCATATGGCTCTCATGAAATGTAGGTGAGATGTTGGTCAGAACAAAAAGAGGAATACTCTTATTCAAGCTTATTCACCGATCCAGGGTGGCTTATATGGCTGTATGTATTAAAGAGCTGTTTAAATGGAAAGGCTGTGGACTGAATGGCCTCCTTTTTCCTCATTCCCCACCATCTTTGGCTTTTATTACTATATTTTCTGCACTTCTCAGTAGAGCAGCACTCATATTCTTTTACAGAACACCCTGCTGAGTGTTTTGCATTGCTCACATAAGAGAAAATATTAGGAAATGCTGCTGAGGTGGAGTTTCCTGCTCAGATTTGTGCCATTTCCTATATTTGGGATTCTCAGTCTGTGGTGTTCTGATCAAGTGTGGCCTGCTTTTCTAGCTATGAGGGGCAGGGGAAGCAAAGAGGAGCCAACATTTCTGTTGTTTTTGACAAAAGTCTACTAGAACTTCCACACAGCCAAGTACAGAACAACTTTAAACCATTTTCTGAAACTTTTGCTTTGCTTAGCTCAGACTCTCAAGGACAGAATGGAGTTTACCTTGCAGGCATCATCAAGGTTCCTTGTGTCTCCTGCACACAACATGTTGTCTGTAACTGTCCTGTTGCCTAGATGCTTTGTTGTGCACTGGCTGGCTGGAAACAGTCTCACATGGCCTTCCTTCAGGTGCTCTGAATAGAATGGAGAAACTGGAAGAAAAAATACAATATAAATACATAAATATGTCTGTGTAGGTGTATATATATTTAAAAAGCCCCAAAGCAGTTCAGGTTCTGTAGTTTAGAGGAGAGTAAATGGAAGTATTTGGGGGCAGAGGGGGGTGAACTATTATTTCTTTGCCAAAGGGTCTAGTTTTGATTCTTGGGGGTTCTGCTTTGCGAGTGAGAACTGCTTCAGTCTAGTTGAGAGAGAATATTGCTTCTTTAACAAGCCTAAGTTCTACAGACTGCTGGGGTTTATGGATGGGTAAGTCATCCTTGCACAGTTACATCAACCAAAATGAAGTCACAGCAAGTGCCTATGAAAATCACTAACTGCACAAAACAGGATCCTGACTTTTTAGTATTAGGCTTGCACTAACAAAAAGCGGATGCCTTGTTGTACACAATACTGAGAAACTGGATAGGAATGTACGCTTGTGTTTTGCTGGAATGGAAGGGATTTGGTGTTGCTTTTATTCTTCTGCATAGCTGCGACTGCACAAAGCTGAAAGCTGGCAGGGTTGTTGTTTTTCAGTCTAGTTTTGGATTACAATTGCAGCATCCTTTCCCTCTCAAAGGGTGTACCCTGCACTCCCTGTAAGCAAAGCTGAGGACTGGCTTTAAAAGCACTTCGTGCCACACTTGCATGTTACAAAGTCTGTTCCAAAACCACTATGGACTCAAATCATCATGAGGTCTTTTTACCGTGGTTTCTTCAGACTACAAGTTAGCAAATGAAATGAAAATTAGTAGAAAGTACCAGTAAAATCCAAGCTGGGGGATTTTGTTTGTTTTAAATACAAGTCAGCCTGTTATACCTTCAGACATGTCTTATTCCTGTTTGTTGTAGCTCACCGTAGAAACCAATTAGCCAGCCTTTTCAGATATATGTCTGGGATTATCTGCTAATACACTATACAGTTGCAGGTAGTTGCATGTGATTAGCACACATGTGTTAGCAGATAACCCCAGATATATATATGAAAAGACTATGAGCCCATGCAGCTGAGAGAACTAAGATCAATGAAATAACTTACAAAAAACCAAACTTGTTTATCTCCTACTATGCGTATGTTTTGTCATGCTGATGTAAGCCCATATGATAATTGAGGGGACCACACATTAAGCAGTGCTAAAGGCTTGAATTCTTTGAGGGCAGGGGACACAAACTTTAATATCTTCTACTTACATTCTTTGTTTCTGCCATAACCAGAGATCTCACATTCAGTCCAGGCAGGCAGGTGTAGTGCTGGTGTTGGGAGGCAGGCAGCACGGACAGTGTCTGTTTCAATAGCACAGTCCTCTGCATCCGAGTTCAACTGCAACAGAGCTGAAGAGGGAAAGCAACTTCATTAAGCACAAACTGGAGCCAGCCACAACCTTTGCAGAGTCACTAGGTCAGCAAAGTTCTTACCAATGTCATTGTCGAAGTTTTCTGAGTCAAATCTCTGGTGCACGGTGTAGCTCTTCACTTGAAAGTTCTGTTCATTTTCCTCAGGAGTGGCTCGGGATGTTCTCCCTAGCACAATCTTCAGCTGATTTGCACTAAAGCTGAAGAACAAGAATCTTAACTTTCTGCTCACGTTGAGTGCACCCTTCTCTTGAAGATGTGCTGCTGGAGCTTCTGCTCTTTGTTTTAGCACTATTACTACTTCATTACCCAGGCAGTTTGACCTGAAGTGTCCGATTTGCCTTTGGTTTTGCACTACTTACAGCCATCATGGCAAAGCTCCTCTGCCAGCCCCTTGCGGTTCTCAAGTATCAGATGGATCTGCATCTGTACTGACAGCTTTGTTCTTCAGCTGTTTGCTATTCTGCAGTGATACCTTAATGCCACGCTGTTAGTTGGCCCAACAATTGCCTGTCTGTCATGCTCTGCATAGCTAACTTTACACTCTTTAGTGTACAATGACAAGCCTTATTCCAAGCCTTTTCTAGTAAGGCAAGACTGGATGCTTCCAATTTCAGTCTGGTTTTGTTGGGGTTTGCTTGGTTTTGGTCCCCGCAGCAGTACTGAATCCTCAACTTACCCTTCCTCAAAGCAGTGAGCAGCTGACAGAACCCAGCAGGAGCTGATGAGGATTCCTCCACAGAGGAAGTGCTCTCCAGGCGCCCGGCGGTACTTCACGAAGATGGCAGCTTGCCATGGGTGAGCTGCAATGTCTGCATAGGAGCCACCCTTAACCCTGTACTGGCGTCCTCGGTGCTGCCGCAAGCCGCAGGTGGCTGTGGGTGACAAACCCAGAGACAGGCTTTTTGTTCAGGCCTTCTTGCTTGGAGTTTGGGTTAAGAGCCTGTTAGCTGCCAGTGCATGTTGAGGCAGCCTGGCGTGAACTGTGTAGTAACTGACTCATTCCTGTCTCCTAGGAAACTTGTATTCTGATGTGAAAAATACAGTAAGGAAACCCTGCCTTTTCTGTCCTCCCTTTCCTTCTGGCAGAGAAAAAGGCACTTCTGTGAGGCTGGAGCCACAGAATCTCTTTCTGCTCTAAAAAGGACCTGTTGAAGGGGGTTTTGGTTTGGTTTTGGGGTTGGTTTTTTTTTGGTGAGGGAGGTTCCCCCTCCAGCTCTTATTTTACTATAAGAAGCTTGAGCTTAATACAAATGACATGCAGAACAGTAATGCTGAAAAGAAAGAGAAGACACAGGAGGGCCAGATCCTTACAGCAAGTAGGCACATTGCAGTACTCCCATGTGAGCTGATTTCCTTTCAGAACATGGCACCAGGGCTTGCTGTCATTGTCAGGATTCCTGCAACACAGGAAAGAGAAAAACTATTTGTATTATCAGGTGTGAAGAGAGTTTGGGGAGACCTAAAGGCAGCAGCCTGTGACCTGAGTGTTCTAGATATAACAGAGGGCCCTAGGACCACATGGAACTTGAATTTATGGAGTCTTATGTTACAAAAGCATAGATAGGTCAGGTGGAATTACTATTGTAATCAGGAAATTACTATTGTCAGTGAGCTTCATTCCCAACAGTAATGTACTTCCCACGCTTAAATAACCCACATAAAAGAGCCTGCCCTTAAGAGCACCACAGGGAAGTTTGGTGGGGCTTTAGTTCTGTGACTACCTACCGGCAGAAGTTGTGAGTACCAAGGCCCAGCTGGTAAGCATCTCTTCTCCAAGCAGTATATAACTTGTTGACAAGGATTCGGGAATTCCACCTCAAACAGGTAGCTCCAGAGCTGGTAACACTGTGGCTGCCTCGATAATCTGTGCCTCTTCCAGATTTGCAGTTGCTGTTTCCAGCTTCAGTAAGAAAGCTGTATATTAACTAATGGATGTGAACCTGTTAGCTCTTCCTAACTGTGATTTCTGTCAAGGCTGTATACTAGCTGTACTTATCTCAGTCTCTCAGTGTCATAGATATTAACAGCTTAACCATGATTAATGTTAGAGGTTCAACTTTTCAAGCTGCAGAAATAGCACAAGGCCACAGAGAACCATTAGATACACAGTGAATCATGGAAGCTGTGAAGTCCATTCCCTGTCCCCCTCCATGTACCTTTTGAACAGGAGGGCACACTGCAGTATTCCCAGATGTACTTTCCCTCTTTATAGATATAGCACCAAGGTCTGGAATCCTCATCTGGGTTTCTGAAAGAGTTACGATATTATGCATCATTATGAAGCTATTGTTATTAGTCCCATGTCTGCAATCTAGTTTGGTAACTTCATCCTGCTCTGCAGTGAAGAGATGGACTGAACCTTCAGAAGACATTTGGATTCCTATGTTAATTGTGGAGTACATGTAAGTGAGGATGAAACAGCCAGTAGCTGGCAGGAGTGGATAGCCTGCTTGTGAAGTTAGTTTATGAGCAGGATCTGGAGCTGCAGGAAACTGGCCTACAAAGGGAGTTTTAGGCACTGAAAAGGGACAAGGGAAAGACTATGGGGTGAGAGATGAATGCATTTTGTAGTCTGCCATAAGCATCCAGTCTAGGTAGATCTGAAGCTGAGATATGTCTACAGAAATCGCAATTGCCACTCATGGGCTGCACTTTATTTCTTTGCTTGACATTAGAGTATTGCAAACAGCCATTCCTTTGCTCCAAGCCTTTAGGCTGATTCCTGTGGCTCTGACCTGGGTGCCATCAGCCCCTCACCTGCAATAGTTGTGATTGCCCAGTCCCAGCTCAGCAGCATCCTCTCTTCGGCTGCTGTACCTCCTGTCCATCAAGCCATTGCTATTCCAACTTAAACATTCAGCTCCGCTCTCTGTCGTGCTCCATGTACCCCTGTATGTTACTCCAGCATCTTTGTAGCACTTAACTGTAGTATCTGAACAAAAGGGAATAAAATGTACATCTTCTGGGTACCTCATCCTTCTGTACTGCATAACTAAAGCCAGTAGCGTTGCTATACTCACCTATTTCACACTGCCTCCCAGAGAAACCTTGGTGGCACTGGCAGATGAAGAGCTGTGGGGAATAATATGCCTGTGAGCATTGGCCCCCATTGTAGCATTTCATTCTAGTGCAGGCTGTGGAATAAGCAAAAGCCAGAATACTGTTATATTTCACAGAAGTAAGAAGCTATCAATGCATACCCATCATTCCTCTCCTGTCAGTGTCCTTTAGGCTGGTCTAGCATGTGCTTACAGTCTTTTTGTGTAGTGCTCACATTCTTCCTTTGCTCCATTCTCTCCACGTGCTATTAGGAGCCTTCCTCAGCCTCTTGCCCACTCCCTCTTAGTCCTGCCTAAGTTGGTACATATTAGTATTTTCATTTCTATCCTAGTCTATTTCAAGCCAAATTTTCTGATAACTCCTTTCCTGAGAGTGGAGTTCTTTAGGATGCTTAGATGGAAAATCTCTCATCCCCCACCACTTCCTTTCTCTTTTTCTTCCTCATACTCACCTCTGACAGGCACAGTGTGGCAGCGACTCCAACCGCTGTCGCACCTACAGTACTCTACTCTGCTCCCTGAAAGCCTCAGCCAGGTCCCCCTGTGCTGGTAGATTTCTCCAGATGATTTTTCTGTGCAAATGGCTGTAATTGGAGAAAGGAAAATCCTCTTTTAGAGAGTCAGGGAAAAGACCTGGCTGAGCGAAAGAACTCCCTTCTCTTCCCAGGAGAAAAGCTCTGCTATCAACAGCCTCTCTTTCTCTGAAGAAGAGCAGAGGGAGGGGAAAACTTTATTCATTGAGTTGTGCATTGTATTGATGGTCTGCTCTTTCGTCTTCTGAATCTCTCATCCAGATAACCGTGACAAACAGCTTTCAGGCTCTGTTCCCTCAGCATCACTTGCTTTCCCTCCTGCATTCACAAAGCTCCAGGTAACACAGCTGTAGTTTGCATGGCTTACCTCTGGACCTGGCTCCTCGTTTGAAACGTGTGCGTAAGCCCTGCAAGCAAAGAAGGTTAATTCTGTGAGTAACTGCTCTCTTAAGAAAACAGAGAGAAAAGTGCCTCCATCCTCTTCTTGAGGCCTTGTAAATCAGGACAGCTTGGAGAAACTGCCCTCCTTGTCAGACAGTACAGTGAAAAGTGCCTTTAGTGTCTCAGCGTGGGTAACTATAAAACCATGGAGTTGCCATAGATCTAAGCAGATTCTCATTCTGTCCGATGGAGACAGCTGGAGTCAATATGGCAATTACCAAATAATGGTAAGAGCATTATTTGATCCATTAGCCTCTTACCTGGCATTGAGCAGTCACAATTGCTGCCACCAGCAGGAGCAGACATGGGACTTTGCCTTCCATCCTGAATGTTTTCCACATCATGTCCAAATCTCAAGTTACCTACAGAGACAAAAACCAAGACAGTGAACAAAGGCATTTTACAATGTGAATGGAGTTCAAGGGCATAAGTTTAAATACAGGTTTTAAATTATGACAATTGTTTTTACATTAAAACATGCTTTCTACTGTGCAGTTCTCAGCCATCAGGACTGGTGTCCTGGTGACCCTGGACAAGGGAAGGTGTCAGGCTGGACCCAGATGTGCTTCTACCTGATAAATTTAGAAACATGACAAGCTAAAGCACACACTGTTAGGTCTGGAGGAAGCTCAGAGAATGTTTCTGGGGAGTAACACTGGTAGAAGTAAGTTCCAAGTCCTTTTTCTCAAGGTTGCTGGAAGCCAGCAGGATCACGTGTGTTACTAGAGAGATGGACTTGTCTAATGAAGGAGTTGTACTGATTGTTCACTGAGATTCAGGTCACTGAAGCCTAAGAGATCTCTTGCAAGGACTCAAAAACTTGCTGAAGGGTCAGTCTGTGCTAACAGTGATTTAAGAGGATTTTTATTTTCTGCATAGACTGTTGTTTTTGGGCAAGACTGAGGGCTTCTCCCGTGTCGAGGATGCTTCAGCAAGGAGGCTTTGGTTGATGATAGGTGGGGACAGAGCTGCTATGTCTTTGGTTTTCAGTATTTCTAAAGCTTCTCCCTAGTGGAGCCTTTAGTTTCTGCTATTGTTGTTATGCTTTTGCTGAAAAGGGAGAGTATGCCAATTGGCTGGCAGGCTGGCTTTTGGGCTGATGCTCTCATTTATCCATTGCACTCCTATGCAATCACAACCTCTTCTTATTTCTGCTAATCCCTTCAGCATCTTTACACTTCAGATGGAGTCTGAAGTGTAAAGTTGCTGAAACCTTTTGCTGACAAAGAAACCTTAGAAACCTTTTGCTGATAAAGGCATCAAAAGGTTTCGAAGGTGGTCTGCTTCCTGATGAAGGCAATGTGCTTTGCTGTGGGCTTCCAGCTCCTCTGTTAATCCCTGGAGGAAAAATCCTGGAGGATTTATTTTGCCCATTCTTTTATCTAGGTGACCTTGTACTAACCATGGAAGTTGCACATATGTGTATATACATATGTACATGTGTGTATGTAAAAGAGCTCCAGTAAAGCCTGATCTCAGCAGCACCAGTATGTATGGTAGCTAGCAAAGTCCTATGTTATATTTAGAAACACTGCTGAACTTGAGGACTTTAAATGAGGATTTATTGGTACACTCACAGGACACCGGTGGCGGGAGGAGGCTGTTGTTCATGGCATAATGAATGCAGCTGATTGTACAGTGTCAGAGGTTTAGATACGGTGCCTATGGCATTAACTAGCAAGGTCCAGTATGTCTTTTAAAAACTGGGAAAGTATTATCAGTTTTCACAGTTGAGTAATAATAATGACAACTCCAGTCCTTAAAAGCTGTGTAATCTGAACCCTTACAATAAGTAACTTTATCACAGGTTATCTTGAACCCATAATTTTCTTCCTAAAAGTAATAGTTACTCTGCATGCATAACAGTGGCTCTTTTTTTACAATTGAATAAGACACGAGTAATCACAGATTTAGCTTGATCCTCTGTACTCACCAAGACTGCTAGAGCAGTCAGCTTAGATGGCTGAAATGATGGCTAGAGTGTGATGTAGAGGGGAACCCCCTGCTTTGACCACGTCCAGCACCAGAGGTCCATTTTCTCTCTTTCTTTAAAAGTATAATGCCTCCTATGCATACCAAGAGCTGGGAGTGAGGCAGAGCAGCAGGCAAGAAGGTAGAATTTCATTCCCAATCCCTAGGATTGCTCTGCAGTTCCAAATATTTGCAATAATACTCAGGCATTGCCTCCCACGCTATCACCTTTTTATCATCTCCATGATAAGATCTCTGAGCAAGTAGAAAGGTAACCCAATTGTTTGAGAAATTACTTCCAGAAATGAGGAGTGCAGACTCTGTTTATATGAATCCAGAGAAGGCAGCTGGATAATAGCTGCTGAAATTGGAGTATAACAGCTGAATGAGTCATAAATTGGGATTCAAGGCTAAAAATGGGAGGGAGTTTCTTTGTGGGTTGTGTTGGTTTCTTTTAAATACTTGTTCAAAGAAAAGGCAAAAGGCACAAATATCCCAGTCTCTGAAGCAGAACCAGGAGTGCAGCAGGATAATTTAGCCTTTAGCTTCTCATCATTAGACCACACAAAGAGAAGACTTCAGTTGCAAGTCAGACTGAAAAGATTCACAGGAACAGCTTCCAAGAACCTGAGTTACTCCAAGTCTTATCTTGACAATGAGATCCTTGTAATTCAGAGCCTCTCCTGGGGATTTGTATTACTATGCAGATTTCGTAGGGTACTTTTTTATATACTTTCAAGCCCTTTCTCACCGCTTAGGAAGTGTCTTGCACTGCATAGCAAACCTTTTTAAAATGCTGCAAGAGTGGCTTCAAAATAGGCATTTCCTTCAGTGGAATCTGAACTAAATCAGCAGTGGTCTGGACTTGCACTTATTCCTGCTGCCTCTGTACAGGCTCTCCCCTCCACCTTTCCCCCTTGTCCGTGGGAGATGCTTGTCCACCCACTGGTGGCTGTTATGCATGGAAAACTGACAACAGATGTTGCCAGATGTTTGTTTTCAGTTTTGGGAAAGGTAAAACTCAGGGCAGGCAATTGGAATGTTCTGAATGATAAGCCCTATCAAATTGAAACCATATGGCTGTTTGAAGAATACCATGTTTACAAGACTTCACTAGCAGCGTGCTTTCTGTAGGGCTCCCCTAAACAGCTCCTGCCTTCTGCTCTCACCCTTTGTTTCCTATCTGATCAAAAATCCTCTAGCAGTAAGCCAGAGGCTTAGATGTGCTGCTCTGATAGTTTGATTCTACACTTTAAGGTATATTAGGATGTAAAGATATACAAGACCCCAAATGTATCGCTCTTTGCTGAAGCATCATCAGCAGGAATACTTGAAATCCCACTTACTAATTTGTTGATAATAACAGCCCTTCTAAGCAGTAAGAGTGTATAATCTTACCAGTGTGGAATAAGACCTAAAAAAGAATGTATCTATCAAGACTGAACAAAAAGTCATTAATTGAAACCAAAGTAGCTTCCCCCAAACCCCTGTATGCCTTCCAATCACTTAGTATGTGCATTTCAGAATGCTTTAATTCTGAATCTATAGTACTAAGAGGGCTCTTGCTGATGAACAGCTATATTGATCTAGTTTAAGTGAAAGACTGCAGATCCTTGCTGACCTTTCCTGCCTTCTGGAGACAGTGCTTCTGTATCCCTTTGCTAAATTGAGCAGATGAATATCAGACTTGAACTATTTCTGTTTAAGATGTAACAGCAGACAGATCTGTGCCTTTGGGGAAAAGAACTGTGTAAAAGCCCCACAAGAGAAAGCTCCTGCAGTCTCTGAAGGCATTGGAGGAAATGGATATTTCAAACTCTGGCTTTGTTTTGGGAAATTCTCAATATTTTCCTGTGGTTTTGGCTGCATTTACAAAGCGTGATCCGAAGAAGATCCGCCCTCCTGCTCACTGTCCCTCCATTACCCTGGTTGGGAGCCTGGGATAAGCACACAGCCTGATTTCCCAGGCTGGGATGGATTCTCCTTGCACACCTAGCTCTCTGGGTCTCTCTTTACCATTAAGGTATTTGTCCATAACTCTTCTTTTGCTTTAACTTCTCTTGCTAATGTTCTTTGGATGCGAGACCTCCCCCCTGCTAGCTGCGGCTGCCAGCCCTTCCCCTGCAAGAGCTGAAGCTTTCTTGGCATAACTGAAAGCTATCAGCTGTACCCAGCGTTAGGAACCTCCTCCAAAGCTGCAAGGCAATAGCTCGGTTAGTTAACCACCGCGGTGCTTCAGCGGGATTCATTAGATAACAAGAGTTAATAGCATTCAATGACAATGCCACTGATGCTGAAACCGGGCATTGCGCTTTGTGAGGCAGGTGCACAGCCGGACCTACCTTTGCTTTCTTTCTGCTGTATCCGCGGATGGAGCTCTGCAGAGCAGCGCGTTTCTGCTGTCCTCCTCTGCTCTGCGCTCTCCCAGCGGCTCCTGCCCTGAGCCCCGCTCAGGGGGTGGAGACTCGGGGGCAGGAGCCCGCATCCCCCCCGGAGCGGCTCCGGGACGGGGCGGACCCTGCCCGGGGCTCGGGGGACGCTGGTTTACAGCAGCCCGCGTTGTTCTTTCTCTCTCCCATTCAATAGAGCAGTGTCAGTCTTCTAAACGCTTCCCCGTTTAACACCTTAAGCTTCAGTATCCCTCACATCGTGCTCGTGGGGCTGTGAGATGTGTTACCTCCAACACGACCAGAGAAGCTGCAATCTGTAGCTTAGTTCTAGTACTGAGAAACTCCTATTTCAAGAAAGAGCGCAGTGTGCTGGGAATCCACTGGGAATCTTCGGCAGGCAGGTGAATGCCATGGACAGTGCCATGGGGACAAAATGGTCAGAGGAGCTCCCAGGTAAAGTGGGGACAATGAGCAGAACTTCTAAGGACTCTTAGATAGAAGTAAGGAATTGCATGCTGGGGACTGAAGAGTTAAACGTTCATTGATGCTGCGCATCCCAGAAAAATAAGATCTACTCAGCAGTGTGTGGTCATGAAGCACTGGGTTATCAGTGTGGGAGGCAAAGTGAACTCAGGGTTATGAAAACAGCCAGTGATGCAGTTGTTACAGTAGTGGATGTGTTCTAACTTTTAGGAACCGATTCACTAAAACTCAGGTTCCTCATACAATTTAGCATAAACACAGACATAAGAAATAGTGTGTGAGGGATCTCCATCTTCAGGAAGCAGCTGCACAGCACCCTCGGTTGGGAAGCATGGCAATGGGTACTTTGCATATTGGCAAAGATGAAACCTTGGTTACTCTGCACATTTAGCTCTTCCATGTATGGAAAACCATCAACATTATCACATATTTTCTCTGAGAGTCCCAGTGCTGGTGGTGAGCATTACAACCAGAAATAAATCTGATTTAAGGGCAGCTCTGACTGTTTCCAGTTGTTGAGAACAGGATGACTGGACACTGCTGAGTGAGCAAAGGCTAACTCATGTCATTTTTAAAGATACCAGCTAGTTGCTACTAGAATTCTGGGTTAAAGATGCTAACAAAGTAATGGCCATGGGGGACGATTTCAGAAGCTACTATTTCTCAACTTTTTGCAGCTTAAGGGCCGCTATAGCTGTCCAGAGAGTGGTGTGGGTGCTGTTCGTGGTGGGGGAAACCATCAGTACCAGCATCTCCTCTCAAGCACCATCTACTGGCTTACCTCTAGTTCGATCCGGTTTCAGGAGGGGTTTCGGCAGCGCTGCTCGAGGGTCGGGGCGCAGCGTGCCCCAGGCCCGCGTCCCCCGGGGGGACGGGGGCACCTCCGTGCGGGGCCCGCGCATTCAGCCGTGCAGCGGCTCTGAACGCGGCGTACCGCGGCGACGAGCGGCTCGGTGCCGTTTGGGGCGCTCCGCTGCCCTGTGCCCCGAGGCTCCGTCCCCGGGAGCGCCGGCGGTGCCAGCTCCCGATCGCGCGGCTCCTTTAAGGGCAGGCGGGCGCTTGCGCCGGAGCCGGAAGCGCTGGCGGAGGCGGCCCAGGCCCTGTGGAGCCGGAACGGCGCGGCCCCGTCATGAGCCGGCCGCCGGCCCTGCAGGCGCAGACCTGCGGCCCCTGGGAGATGAAGGAGCGCCTCGGCACCGGCGGCTTCGGGAACGTTATCCGCTGGCACAACAAGGTAGGCAGCGCCCGCTCTCCCTTCCCCTCCCCGGCCCGGGGCCCGCCTTCAGCCGAGCCCGCCCTGTGTCCGCAGGAGACCGGCGAGCAGGTGGCCATCAAGCAGTGCCGGCAGGAGCTGAGCCCGCGCAACCGCGACCGCTGGGCGCTGGAGATCCAGATCATGAAGAGGTGAGGTGAGGCGGGCGGCGCCTCGGCCTGGCGCTCCCGGACGGGCCCGGAGCCCATCACCGCCGGGGCGGGGCGGGCGGGCGCGGCCCTGGAGCGCGGCTCTAACGGCGGCGGTGGCGGGAGGGGCCATCGGCCGCCTCTTCCGGGGGGAGCCCGTTCGGTTCCGCTCCGCTCCGGAGGGGCCCCGCGGTAAAGAACCGTGCGTTGCGTTTGCGGCCGCAGATCGGGCCATGGGCTCTGTCCTGCGGCGTTTCTGTGCTGCGCCTGAAGCACCGTTGTTAGGCCGCCTGGCTTGCTGTCCGTTGAGGGTTGTCCTTTGGGCGTTGGGTTGGGTTTGGGTGCTGCGCTCTGGTCGTGGCTTGGGTCTTTCCTGGAGGCTGGTGATGGACTGAGCCACGCTCCATTGGGAGGCGTGCGCCTGTAGCTCTCAGGACCTTGAAGGAATGCTCTGTATGTGAAGCTAAAGGAGTTGGCATAAGTCTGGGCCCATGAAGGGTGGATGAATCACAGACCTTCAGAATTCACAGGTTCTAAAAGGACTAAAGCCTTTGTAGGCTTGTGTGTGATGACCGTGAACACGCAATGCTGCAAAGCTCTTGCAGAACACTTTTCAGCGGTTACCCTGGTTCTGCTCACTGTGCGCACTTGCCTCATTTCTGCTCCTCAGGCTGAACCATCCCAATGTGGTGGCTGCCCGTGATGTCCCTGAAGGGATGCAGAAGCTTGCACCAAATGACTTGCCATTGCTGGCCATGGAGTACTGCCAAGGCGGAGACCTCCGCAAGGTGAGCTCCCTGTGGTGGTGATGAAAAGCCACATCATCAGCTTCTCAGCTCATCCTAGGATTTCTCTTGAAGCTTCCCTGTAAAACCTGTTTTCACATCTTGATGCTGCCTAGTTCTTGCCACGGCAACAACAGGTTTTGGTGGGTTGGTCCTTGATACCAGGTTCTGCTTTTGAAAACAAGTGCTTTTGGAAGCTTTTTGTGTTTGCTTCGCTGCAAGTGACACTGTGAGGACTTTGCACATAGAGCATGAGAGCATGTGTGAGAGATGTGGAACAGGGTGCATGGCCAAGACCATCACAGGGCCAGGTACCTCTGTGGGCTGTACCCTTACAGAAAGTGATTAACTCTTATCTGCCATAGGAGGTTAATTCTAATCTTACTGGTTTTCTAACCTTTGGCATAAAACCCAGAGCTTAGAGCTGAGATTTGAGCTGATACTGTCAGGCACAGGGGAAATGGCTGTCAAGGAAGTAGAAGCAAGTGGGGATGACACTGGCTTCTTTCACCCACTTTTTTCTCCTCCTGTGTGCTTAGACCAAGGTCTGAAGCTGTAATTGCTACTGCTGACAGTCACAACCCCATAGAGTTTTGTGCTTCTAGAGAGTTACATTGCTGTTACTGGAACTTCTTGCATCTGTGAGAGTTTCTGGGACTGAACTTCACTTGGGATGAAGGAGGGAAAGACTATTCTGTGCTGTTTTCTTGCAGTACCTGAATCAGCTGGAGAATTGCTGTGGCTTGCGGGAAGAAGCTATTCTCATCTTGTTATCTGATATCGGTAAGTGGTAGCAGTACCTTCAGTTGTCTCAAGTATGAAAGCCCTTTCAGTGCTGAATCTATTAAGCAGTGAGCTTAATGACTCCACCTTAGGCTGACCTTTAAGGAGTATACTTGTTTCCTGTCTTGCTCTGCAATTCTCCCTGTGGCAGAGCCAACCTTTGATTTTTTTGTGTGCTTGCAAATGTAGAGATGGGTTTTCTTGGCCAGCAGAAATGCCACTCGGGATCTTCTGGGAGGTTCTGAATAGCTGAACACTGGCCAAGTGACTGCAGTTTACATTGCACATCAGATTTCACCCTTAGCTTAACAGCTGACTATCAGGCCTTTGGAGCGTGTGTGATCAGTGGGTTTCCATTAGCACTTGGGCAACCACTGCGGGGAATTTCAGACAGTTCTGGTGCCATTTGCCTGGTGCTGTCCAGATGCTTTTGGGGTGCAGTGTTTTGGTCAAGCTATGCTGTAGTCTTACAGAGTAGCAGCTGAGGCAGAACTGGGCAGGCACTAAGGCCTTAGAGAGAAGATACTCAAGAAGTGCATTTAGGGCAGGTGTTCGCTTAGAAAGTGAGCTTTTGGCAAGAGAAATGTGCATTTGTCATTACTTTTACTGCAGGTGTGGCTGTTAGGCATCATCTCCCTTCCTTTGTGCTCCCAGAGCATTTGTATTCTGCTGCCTCATCCTTGTACTCTGTAGTGACCAGGAAACGATACCCAGAGAGCAAGCTGTCTGTGTCCAGAGGTGTTTGACACCGATTTTTCCTCTTGTACATGGAGTTTCATTGTGTGTTTGATGATACAAGATTTGACCCAAAAGCTGTGCTTATACTGGGTAGAAATGAATCCTGAGTGAGCTCATGCTGGGCACTTTTAGTTATACTCCTTAAAAGTGGCTTTCTTTGTCTCCCAGCTTCTGCTCTCAGGTACCTTCATGAGAACAGGATTATCCACAGAGACTTGAAACCAGAGAACATTGTGCTGCAGCAGGGAGAGCAAAGGGTAAGCAGGAACTAGGTGTCTCTGCCTGCACAGACAAGTTCTTTCTCTGCTGTATGGTGTGCTTGTAAGAGGACTTCTCTCCAGTGTTTGTATTCTCTGTTGTGTGTTTCAGTTAATACACAAAATCATTGACCTTGGTTATGCTAAGGAGTTGGATCAGGGTAGCCTGTGCACATCCTTTGTTGGGACTCTACAGTACTTGGTAAGCCAGAAGAGCAGCTACCGTTTTGCAGTGGGATATTGTGAACTGTTATCAGGCTGGGATTTGGGGTGCTGCAGCTGGCAAAGGTGACTGGGTTTTTTTGCTGACACTGGCTTTTCACAGGAAGCCTTAGGTGCCAGTAACCTCTACTTGTCCTCCTTGCATGGATCCCAAAGCTCATGAGAGACAAAGCATTCAGCACAGCCTTTAATCTGTTATACAAATGTTAATGATGTCTTAAGGGATAGAGAGAGCTAAGAGATGGTTGGCTTTGTCTTATTTGTGTAAACTGTCTCAGGCTCCAGAGCTGCTGGAACAGCAGAAATACACAGTGACAGTGGATTACTGGAGCTTTGGCACACTGGCCTTTGAGTGCATTACAGGATTCCGGCCATTCCTACCCAACTGGCAGCCAGTGCAGTGGTGAGTGAGCTGGGGCTGGGTGATAAGAGGGCGTGGAATGCAACTGTCCTGTTTACAGGAACTAGAAATGTGGTCCCTTGATTCTTAGGGTAGTATCCCTATGTTCCCTGCCTTTATAAAGACTGACTCCCTTCACAGGAGTTTGACTTACTAAGCAAGTTCAGCGTTCCTGATCCTCACTGTCTGGGATCAGGACTGGCTTCTGCAGGATAGGTAGCAGAAGCCAAAGCAGCATCTGTATTAGATCCGTTGAGAAGAGCTTTAAGAGCCTACTAACATGGAGGCTGGGAGAAGCAGGTGATTATAACATAAGAAGGATTACAACATAAGAAGGATGTAGACCTGTTGGAGGGCCACAAAGATGCTCAGAGGGCTGGAGCTCCTATGGACACAGGCTGAAAGAGCTGGACTTGTTCAGCCTGGAGAAGAGAAGGCTCCAGGGAGACCTTATATCGGCTTCCAATACCTAAAGGGGGTCTACAGGAAATCTGGAGAGGGATTTTTTACAAGGGCATGAAGTGATAGGACAAGAGGGAATGGCTTCAAGATGAAAGAGGGGAGATCTATAGATTAGGAGAAAATTCTTCCCTGTGAGGGTGCTGAGGCGCTGGCACCCTGTGCCCAGAGAAGCTGTGGCTGCCCCATCCCTGGCAGTGTTCAAGGCCAGGTTGGGTACAGGGGTTGGAGTAAGCTGCTCTAGTGGAAGGTGTTCCTGCCCATGGCAGGGGGTTGAATTAGATGATCTTTAAGGTCCCTTCCAACCCAGACTATTCTATGATGATTACTTCACCACTGTACTTGCTTCAATTCATCAGGCATACAAAAGTACGACAGAAGAGTGAGCTGGATATTGTCGTTTACGAAGACTTATCTGGAGAAGTCAAATTTTCTAGTAGTTTACCCTGCCCAAACAATCTAAACAGGTGAGCACTGGAAATCTGTTTTGCCCCACTGAGGTACTGTTTCTTCTGCAAAAGGTTTATATTGTATGCCTTACTTTGTTAACCTGAGAATAAGTTGGGTGCATGACCCAATGCTTGTGTCCCTTGTCAGACTTGTGTAGTTGTGAGTGTATTTCGCCTTCTAAACACTGCATTTATGATGGGTGGGGGGAGCTGTTCATCAGTCCTGCTGTGACAACCAGGCCATATAGCAACTACAAATGCACTTTCACCTCTTCTGATCTCCTGATTTTGGTCCTTCAGTGTTTTGGCTGGGAGGCTGGAGAAGTGGCTGCAACTCATGTTAATGTGGCACCCACGGCAAAGAGGTACAGATCCTACTTATGGACCCAATGGGTGTTTCAAAGCTTTGGATGACATTTTGAACTTGAAGGTGAGCAATGGGTCTGTGTAGCCTGAAAAGCTTTTCAAGGAGAAGTTGCCTGTAGCCCATGCGAGAAGAGGCTTAAATCATAGACCTAGGAGGAGGAGCAGCACGGAATTTGATTTAGCTGTCTCCTGACAGATAGTGACAGACAGTTTTATCTTGCTTACCTGAGGACAGATATTCCCTGAGCTTGCTGGGAGTAGCAAATAGCTTCTCTGTGTGCTTGCTTCCATATTCTGATAGGGGATTCTGTGACTGAAGCTGTTTAATTGCCATGTGGCCTCTCTTCTGATTGATGGAGGACAAGAACTGCGGCATAATGTTATGAAGTAGCTGTGAGGTTACTTCAGCAATGCAGGTGCTTTGAACAGTTTAGCAGTGCCCAGTGTCTCAGTCTTACATCAGTCGTGTCTGAGCAGAGATTGCATCTTCAGCCCTTCTCATGTCACACCACTCTTGTAGTTGCTTCATGTTTTGAACATGGTTACGGGAACTGTACACACCTACCCTGTGACAGAGGAGGAGACTCTGCAGAGTGTGAAGGCCAGGATCGAGTTAGATACGGGTATCCCAGAACAGGATCAGGAGCTACTGCAGGAAGCTGGACTTGCATTGTTCTCCCAGAAGCTGGCCACTAAACATACAGCTGATAGCAAGGTGAGTCTGGGTACTCCCTCCCTTTCTGCTGAGTGAATCAGCAGGCACTGCTCTGATGTTGGCAGCGCAGCACTCCCTGGTATTCTAGCAGGCTTTTGTGTCGGTAACCACACAGACCAAATGCCACCCTCTTACCTTTGGTGCTCAGTCTTTGACTGAGGAGAACCATTCTGTTTATGGTGGTGCTGAGGTTTGCTTTTTCTGAGAGAACCTAACTGGGTCGTTTGTGTTTCTGCAGGTGAATGACACTGCAGCTGCAGACACAGACCTCCTCTTCCTCTTCGACAACCAGAAAGTTACCTATGAGGCTCAGGTTGCCTTGCGTCCTCATCCAGAAAGCGTTGACTGCATCCGTAAGGACTTTCTCTAGCATGAATGTGAGAGGTTCTTGGCCTCGAGAGGGTTGCCTGTGTTCTGTGGTGTGATTCACGTGCAAAGAGTAGAGGGAGCTTTTGCATACTGGGGCTGAAGAAGCAGTAAAATGAACTGGCATAGCATTCATCCAGTTTGTCACAATAACTGGGGAAAGGAAGTGTTTCATTTCCCCAAAATATATAAGTATATATAAGATATACTGGAGAAGCTGCATAGGGGTTAGCCAGCTGTAGGCTTTGCAAGGTGTAGCATGCCCCTCAATGGAGTGACATTTTGGTTTTGTCATGGGATAACACTTCTTTTGGATTTCATGCTGATACGGATGTTTCTCTTCCCCACTCTGTTTCCAGTTCAGGATCCAAAGAAGAATCTCCACTTTTTCCAGTTGAGGAAGGTATGGGGTCAGATCTGGCACACAATCCGGATGCTGAAGGAGGACTGTAACCGGCTTCAGCAGGGACAGCGAGCAGCTATGTACGGTGCCAGTTTCTCTACAATACTTAAATCTCTGCCTTTGCTCCTGGGTGAAAGGGAAAGGACAGGAATGGGACCCTGTTGCAATGGGGAAGCCCATGAGTGGAGCCATTAATGAAAAGCTGAGAGTTTCGACCTCTGCACAGCTGCTTTTGTGCTCACTGCTCCACTCTGAAGTATCTACTTCTGATATAAGGGGAAGTCTGCATTCTTGGTTTCAGAAGGTAATAGGGCCTTCTTTTTGTCCATGTAGGATGAATCTGTTGCGTTACAATAGTACTCTCTCGAAGATGAAGAATTCTATGGCATCCCTTTCCCAGCAGCTGAAAGCAAAGCTGGACTTCTTTAAAACAAGCATTCAGATCGATCTGGAGAAGTATAAAGAGCAGATTGAATTTGGAATTAGTGAGTATAGCATCTGACAAACAGAGCTCTTTTTATGCCTTTTATCACCACAGAATTTCTGACTTTTTCCTGTATGAACCTGACAAAAGCAATCACTTTTCTTTCATTCCTGTAGCTTCTGAGAAGCTGTTGTTCGCCTGGAAGGAGATGGAGCAAGCTGTGGAACTCTGTGGGAGGGTATGTTTTAAAATCTGACTGCTTATCCTTTCTTCCCTTAAGTAGAAGCTTCTTGCGTCTGGGCTGGTTCCAGATGTCATGTTGCCTTGGTTTAGGTGGCACCGTATTTGTCCATTATCAGTACTTGCACTCACTGTGTTTGTAAGGCTTAGGGGAAAAAGAGGAGTCTTGGGGAATGTGAGAGGAGGCGTGGCAACAGTTACACTTGGCTGTCTGCTAACCCAGTCCTGGAGCCAGGATAGCTGAAAGAGGTGTGGAATAGGTTAAACTGAATGGGAATGTGAACCATTAGAGGACTGAACACAATGCTTGTAAGCATCAGCTTTGAGTTTTGAAAAGGCAATAATTTCCCTTTCTTGGTAGCATCCAAAGCATCCAGCTTTCTGACACAAGCATAACCCCTCTAAGTAGGGCCAAGGATAAGGAATGAGAGGTCCTCTACTGGGAGGACGCAGAGGGCAGAATGACTGTCTACAAGCAGCAGCTTCTGCATGGGAACGAGTTCCAAGTGAAAAGCCAGAATTTGGGGTGCCAGGAGTGGAAGTGGTTGTGTGCTGAGAGAAAAAGGGAAAAGCAGTGATAAATGGGAGGTGTGTTTAGACATGCAAATGAGAAAGGAAGAGCCAGTGTGAGTGGTACATCTCCTAGGATAAAACTGTCCCATTGCTTATGTTCCTCCTTGCTTTCAGGAGGATGATGTAGATCAGCTAGTGAAGAAGATGATGGCCCTGCAGACAGACATTGTGGACCTGCAGAGAAGCCCACTGGGTCGTAAACAAGGGGGAACACTGGAGGATTTGTGAGTTGAACTACCTTGAATTTCAAATGCACGACTATTGCTAGCTAAGCTTATTCACTGCAAGACAATGAAAGTGGAGTTTCTTCAGCCCAAACTGGGGGGGACTGGGTGGACTTCGACACTAGAAGACAGCTTTTGACTCCTTACCTGTCATCAGTCTGACATGGCAGACTGCTGTATAAAAGATTTGAGTTCTCGAAGTACTTTGTAATTTAGGCTCTAGGGAAGGTCTAATGTGTTCTTGTGCCTTTTTCTTCTAGAGAAGAACAAGCCAGAGAGCTGTACCGGAGATTGAGAGAGAAGCCAAGAGGTAAAAGACATTTTAGCTCAAAGTCAGCTTGCTTTGTGTGGATAGTAACTTTGGAGATGCAGTAATGAGCACTGAGAAAACTTCCTCTGCATTGTAGCCTGCCTGTGTGCTAGCTGTACATGGACTCTACTGGACTCCCCTTGTTTCAGAGTCAAGAATTTAGTTTTAAATAAGGTCAGCCTTGCTTTCTTGGCACCTTTTGAGCTCTTAGCTCTTCTGGAGCACTTCTCAGAGCAAGCTATTGCTGCAAGCATATGGTGCTGCTTCTGTACAGGAAAGATGAGACACATAGCTGTTCCTTTGGGAACATTAGACCTTTTGGGTATTAGACCCAGCCTACCAGGTCTGTGTTTCAGTCCTCATCATTCTGAAGAAGGTGGCTAAAATCCAGTGCAGTTCATCCCTCTCAAACTTGCATGCCCTGAACTTGGGATGTTTCAGGATTGAAGAAATAGTAGAAACAAACCACTAAGAATCTTCTCACTCTGTCCTGTAAGCCAACCTTTCTGTAACACTCTGACTCTCATTCTAGATCAGAGGACAAGCGGTGACAGCCAAGAAATAGTACGACTGCTCCTACAGGCAATCCAGAGCTTTGAAAAGAAAGTCCGAGTCATTTACGCTCAGCTGAGGTGAGCTTTGTAGAAGCAGCTTTCATTGAGGGTTAAAAGCATTTTCAGCAAGAGGTTTTCTTCTAGAGATTTAAACAGGAGTGTGTGTACAGCTCATGAGAGCTCAGTGTTACAGGGAAGAAGACACTTCAGGAATGTTCCCTTACCACAGTGGCTCATTTGTGATCTGATTTTACTTTTGTGATAGTAAAACTGTAGTTTGCAAGCAGAAGGCACTGGAGTTGTTCCCCAGAGTGGAGAAAGTGATGAATCTGATGAATGAAGATGAGGAAACAGTTGTTCGGCTTCAGGAGAAACGCCAGAAAGAACTCTGGAACTTGCTGAAAATTGCTTGTGTAAGTGAAATAAAACCTCCAGTTTCATTTGCTTTCTAGTACAGGTTACTGACATTAATAGTACCTTTAGTATGGTTCTTTTCTCTGTTGAGTTCATAGTAAAGTCAAAGCTGCTGGAATTTAGGGGTACTAATTGCAATGTGAATCTCCTGTGTTTTCTTCAGAGTAAAGTACGTGGTCCTGTTACTGGCAGTCCAGAGAGCATGAACACATCACGTCTTGGTAGTCCTGGTCACCTGCTACTGCAGGTCCCTTCTGGAACCTACAACTTACCAGAATCTGTCAGGAAAAGGTGAGGCAGCGTGGAGCTCTGTAATTGCTAATGCCAGCACTACAACACTGGGGCTCCCCCTTTGTGAAATGACACACAAGCTTTCTATTTTACACTGTGTGTTCAGCTTCCACTGTCAGCAGTCTTTTCTGCCTATAGCTGGGCTTCCTGGGGTTCTGAATCTTCCTTATAAAAAATGGGGAATAATGTATAGCTTTACTTTCCCCCCTACTGCAATAATAAAGGGCTCATTTTATCTGGAATGGTTGGGCTTACTTGAAGTACACTGCCAACAGCAGTTGTTGGAGCATCATCATGTAAGGTGATGGTAGCCGAGTTGTATCATAAAGGAGACACTGCTATAACCAAGCATGTGTAGCTCTGCTTTGCTTAAATGAACAAGGTCACCATTTGGACTGACAGGCTTTGGTTTGTTGATTTATTTGTGTGTTATCTTTTATGGGATGTTCTGTAACTTTCTAACAGTGACTCTGGATAGTAAGAACCCAACTCCAGCTTGGAAGATGCTTCCTTCCCCTGTCCTGTATATCTGGGGATGCCACTGACTTTCCCAGTTGCAATATGAATTACTAGCTTATGGACTGACTGATAAAGGTTAATATTCAGCATACCTGCCAAAAAGGTTTCTTCAAGGTAGAGGCAGCTTGTCTTCAAACAAAAACGCTATGGAAAATAACTGTGTAATAATTGTCCCTTTCAGTGAGGAGCTACTGCTGGAATCACAGAAACTCTGCAGCCAACTAGAAAATGTGATGCATGACACAATGAAGGATCAGGAGCAGAGCTTCATGGTAATGTAGTTGATACTCTTCTGTAAATGGACTGGGGAAGCTCATGGTTTCACACTTGTAGTAAGTAATACACTAAAATAATTGCTTGTAATAAGTAATACAGCTAATAGAAATATGTATGTGACTCTTAGACAAAGTAGTTACGGGAGATAGAAAGCACCCCCTTCCCCACTTGAACTGATATATTCCCTGCTTGCTAAGAAGGGGAGCCACGTGCTGGGGACCTGAGCTGTGACAAACACCTTAAAATGGGGCTGGTCTGCTGATGGCAATACACTGGCGGGCAGGGATGCTTATTTAATGAAGCAGAATCTTAAAAAGAAAGTTCGATAGTAGAGAAAACAAGCAGCTTAAGGGTTTCCTTTACAGCAGTCTCATGGTTCATCATGAAACTCTGTTGACCAACTTGGTTACAGTATAAATCCTTTAAATTACTTCCCTTTTATTCAGGAGCAATCTCAATTGTATTCAATGTTGTACTTCTGTTTGTTCCTTTTAGGCTCTAGACTGGAGCTGGCTACAGCTTCAGGTAGAAGAAATGAACAGTCCAGAACAAACCCAGATGTAAAATCACTTCGCCTGCCTTTTTGAAGACATGCTATTTCAGGAAGGCAACTGTGGAAAGCTGCTGCCTCTGAGAAGGGAAGTTCAAGTTCCTCCTACTTTCACCTGCTGCTTATGTGATACACGTGGCCTAGCTTTTAGTAACCACCTCTTGGACCTTTTGTCCACAAAGACACAGTAGGAAATGCCTGTTCTAAATGCTTGGAAAAGTTCTGAATCGTGCCTTAAGACAGCAGGTATTCTTACTCTTTGTCCTGATGTATCTTCCTTTAAGCATCACATGGGGTTGTTTTGCTGCCTTTTAGGCTGATGAACAACGGACGCTGCGTGCAGTCAGCTTGCCCAGTCACTGGTAGATGTCACCTTCCTAATATACTTGAACTGTGAACTTTATTTCTTAACTTTGCTGATTTGCACTTTTTTTCCTTAAGTGTAATGGTTGTACTTACCTGGTACTTGTTTCCTATATGGGAACGAAAATGATCTAAAACATGTAAACTTTTGGTTTGCTCTTTTTGATACCCTCAATAACATTTTGATGAAAAAGCTGCTTTCACTGTGCAGGTTTCTAAACCATGAGTGGTGGAAAGATATTACCCCCAGAGACCACAGAGAAGGAAATCCTCAGTGTACACACAGCTTAACAAAGTATTTGCAGGTTACCTATTAACCACACTTAAAGTTGCACCAAAGGAAAGAAGCAGAGGTGGATGGACATAGCTTTTGTGCTTATTGAGAGACAGGACACACAAAGACTATGTTCTAACTGGGACCAATTTATTTCATTCTGATGTAAATCCAAGTTGCCGCTACAGCACAGAGCCCACCTTTGATAAAAGGTGGTGAAGTGCGAGACATGCAGGATGCAATACAATAATGGGGAGATGTGGGAGTTTCTTCTGGTTTTAGGAACATATGGGAAACTGAAGTGAAATGTGGCACAAACATCACAACTTCCATGCATGCCTTCAACTGTCTTCCTTTGATGTGCTGGCAGTCTCTGGACTTCAGTGTTGGGCTGAAATGACTCTTTGGAAGAATAGAAAGTTCACACTTCTTGGAATTTCAGGGTAATATTAAGGCCGAAACATACTGGGTACACTTCTTTATCCTTCAGAGCACCACCTGTAGCTTCACTTTAAGCTGCATTAAGCTTCCAGCTCAAATCCCAGCCCAATTTTGTGACCTCCAGCACTGAAATTCTTGCCATCGATCAAGCCTGAGAGGGTCAGCTTTATGCCTAAGAAAGCAAATAATGAGACCCTTCATACACTGATAATGTAAGAATGTCTGTACATGCACATAGGTTACTTTTGTGAGCCTCAGGAATATTTCTAGCTAATTTATCTATTGTATGCTGAACATGACAGTAAAATAACTCACAGTATAGCACTAATACTATTTTCTGCTAGCAGTTAGATTTCATACCTGGTCGGAGGGCATGACAGTAACCAATTCCAATCAGGCTGGCATTATTCACTTTAGCCTGCGGGGACAAGATACATATATTTTACACACTCTGTATAAATATCCAGACAAAACTATCCCAGTACCCTGAGCTTACACATTAAATCTTTTAGCTAGGTGTAGATTAACCTCTAGCAGAGGTGTATTCCAACGTTTTCCTTTTCTCCTCAAGGAGAGAGAAAAATCTTCAGCCTGTTACAGCTTAATAGTTCCAATCTTTGCCTCAAATTCTGACCCATTATGCCCATCTCCACTGTCTCTTTAGGGTCTGAAAGGAGCTAGTTACTAGTCCCTGAGTAGCTAATGAAATCTGTCCTGTTCAGATTCCTGTTATCTTAGTACTGATTGTGTTTTTTAATGAGCAATGAACATAGGAATACACAAACCCTTTTTCACATTCCCAAGTTCTGATCAGTTTACAAAAGAACTTCCCACCTTTAATTCTTGGCTGAATTGTCCTGGAACTAATTTTTGGGTTTGAAGTGTCCCAAATGCTATTCAGTCCCTAGTGGCAGCATATACACACAATTACTTAAGAGTCACTGGCACTATTTAAATGCTGCATCCTCTTATTACCTTTAGAAAACACATCTGGTACAGGCTCCAAGCACACTTGTCAAGATTAGTGACTATTTCATCATGAACAAAACCTTTAGCATTTAGCATAAAAAGCTTTAGCACTGGTTTCCCATCATCTCAAATATGACCTCTGAAGAGCTGATTTAAATTTTAACCATGCACTATGCTTTCTATTTAATGCCACTACTTCATGCCAACCATCTTCAATATTTAAACAGCTTGAAATACTCATTCCTATAACAAAATTCTTACCACAAGGGAAGTCTTCTCATCCAGCTGGTACTTCGTAGCAATACCAAAACGTGTGTTGTTACTGCCAGCAGTCCATGCAAGATTGACTGATGTCTCGACCTTATCATTAACCTTCTGATAAATAGACCCACCAAACTCGGTGCCATCATTCCTGTTATAATAAATGCAAATGTGTCAAAGACTTCACAATCATAGCTCGTAAAATTAACCAAGAGCTCATGTATTTCCCTGGACCCATGCTCACCCTCTTCCTAGAAGGAGCTGACAGTCTCCTGTTCATGTTTATTACCCAAACCCTAAGTTTTACTTGTGGAATAAAACTTTCCAACAGCTGGAGATTCTGACCAAAAAAATCCCAATCAAAATTCAGACTTAAGAAAGCAAGCCTGTAATAAAGGGACAATTCCAGGAAACTTCAGTTGGTTATGGGAACAATAAGAGTGAAAATACTGTTAGTGCATTGCAGTTGTTGTATCTCTCTCTCTCTCTCTAGATCTACCTATCTAGATATTTATCTAGATATCCACATAACTTGATTTATGTATAGATACATACATAGATAAATACACCCACCTTTCATCTAGTTTGGCTCCTCTGATCACGTTTTGCTAGGCTCACGTAATACTTACACATTAGTGTGCAGCTGAAAGTCTCGTGCCCTGTATCCCAAGGCAAAGTTATTTTGTGAAAGCTTAGATTTGGCTGTATCAAAAGCCATCTGGTAGCCAGCAAGCCAGCCTTCATAGCCCAACACTGCCCAGCCACAGATGGTTGGTCCAGAGAGATCAATGTCTATGTTGCAGCCTAGATTTACATAATCTCTTTTGTAGGAGGTCTTCAACTTTCCACCCTTCTTCCTGCAGAGAAAAACATGTTGGTTTATCCCTGGTAGCATACATGTATGTAGTTTTATTCATATATATATGTGTGTCCCTTAAAGCCACTTAAATAACTGTAAAGCCTACTCAAAACTTCGCAGCTGCTGAAGAATGCATGGGATTAGGGTAACACTGATATCATGTACATACATGTACATGGTGCCACTATGTCCTCCACCATCTCAAACTCCTTGAAAGTCTCAAGAAGCAAAAGAGACAAAAGTGTTTCTGCTTAATGCTCTGACAAACCCATGAGGTTTCAAATTGTGTTCTCCACCACTGAGAGCAATGTATTAGGGCATCATCAGTAGCTGGTGTTTCTTCCCTTCAGTGACTTTTTGTCTGCTCAGTTCTCCCCAGGCCAAAAAGCTGACAAATCATTTTTAGCAGCCCTTGTCCTTGTGAGCCTGATATTAACCACTGCCTTCAAAATACTCCACAGTGCCTGCAGAATATTCTACAGCAGATTTTGAGCATTCACACAATGACCAGAATAAGCATGTCCAGTTAAAAGTCACAGGAAATTGTAGCACTCCTTAGACAACGGTAACAAAAAATACTCACCCTGTGTTTGGTACAAATGTAGTGTCAAGAGCCACCTTCAATCCTTCAATCAACTGCAAAGAGAAACAGGTCTGCTCAAAACTGCTGAAACATCATTTGTTATAGTCTGTTGCTACAGCTCTACTTGTTGTCTATAGAGATGACAAAACATGACCATGATGTCTCCCATGTTTTACAACAAACACCTAAAGATGCTGTATGATAAGGGATTAAAATTGGGACTTTTTCTCCACACAGTGAGGTCTGTAACAGCATGCTCTGTGTATCTGTTATTGCAGGAAGATTTCAAATCCACTGTTGAGAACAGAAAGACTGAGAAAATGGTTTTGACTTCACTACCTTATGCTTCAGGCACTAAGTGAGAAGCATAAAGCTGAAACTGTTTTGACAGTGCTATATGCCAGCAGCCCTTTGTGGAAGCACCGACAAGCTGCAAACCATAAACTTTCTCTTCAACCTCACAAAATACATTCAAGGCAGCCAAACTCAAGTCCTTACCTATTAGAACATTTCAACTATGAGACCCCTCTTTTGATTTCCCTGCATGATTGCAGTGGTGAAAGTTCTACATAGCTAGCATGCATCTCTATAGACAAAAACTCATATCTGGAGTGGATGATAGTGATGTTATTTCCACCAGCCACCTGATTTCACATGCCAGTAACTATCTTTGGATCATTACATGGCAGCACAATGAATGCGTGCACCCTGCCACCCTGAGCCTGTGCATTCTGCACATACAAATAACTTCTTTTATTACTCTGGGTAGTTTTGTGCAACTAAAACTACTCAGTGTTCTCTGCTCAATGCTTTCTCATACCAGCTGCTGAAACAGCTTCAGAGTATCTACTTCCTCTTACCTGATCCTCCATGGAAACTTCCGTTCCCAACGTGTTGTCTGTGTTCCACTTCTGTGTGAATGTAAGTCCATAGTCCTTGAACTTATATTTGGTCTCTAGATTGCCTGAAGCTTTCCCTGTGTCTGTGTTGGAAGAACCAGTTGCAGTGAATTCCTGCCAAGAGCATAACATGAGTTTCAGCACTCAGATATTTACTCACATTCAGTTTTTCCCCTTGTCAAGTGCCAGCACTCAGACTTGCTACCCCTCAGCCTTTTAACAGAACCCTCAAAATCCTCCTCCTCTATCACCACCAAAACCAATCAGTTTGTATCACAAAATGCTACTCCTTTTGGCATCTCTGTTCAGGATATTTCTTTTATTGAGGTGCACTGATGGAGCCCCGGAACTTGTTTAGGCTACTTATATTTGATTTTTCCTCAAAATCTTGTCAAATTTCCTTCATCATCTTCTCAGCACTGTCCCAGTGCTGCATGAATTAGCACCTTTCATAGTTCTTCTGGGAATGCACTCTCCCTTAAGAAGAGAGTGCAATCCTGCATCCAACTTAGACTGCCACATGAATAGGAAAGCAAATTTGGGGTCTCTCTCATTTTTCCAAGTATCTCCTATACTTCTTCCTTTTTCCACCATTCAGCAGTTTTCTGGAGAATAGTGATTGATGCTTTTCACTACTAAACCCTAACGTTGTTGTTTCCCCTACCCTTTATACTGTTGTCACTTAGGCTCTTCATATAGCATACTGATGCCTTTAGTACCTTTGCTCCCAACCCAACTTCTCTCTCATTACTTCAGTCAGCAACAACACTTCAGAAGCTTCACCCCTTTGTAAAGGACCTTCATACTGCAGACCTTTTCTCCTTCATGGTGTTAGCAAATAACCTGATCCAGGGACACCCTGACAGCTCTCCATCAGGCTGGTCCTTCACTGACTAGTCCAATTGAACCAAT